CGTATCGCAATTAATCATAATCGGCGTGTGGTTAGATTTTAGACGGGGAAAATGGGACACCATACTACGTCCGAATTTATCCAACCAGGCCTCGTTAGCAATGACTCGGTCATGTTTTTTCAGCCAACGGCACCCCGAAACCAAGTGTAGCTGTAGCCATCCGTACGAACCTCGCCTATCCCACGATCAAAAAGAAAATTACCGAATTCCTCGCTAACGTTATAGAACTGTATTACTAGCCAAAGAAGGGTTAGCCATTTGTAGGGTCTGAAAGGCCGGATCAGAGCGGTCCGGCGGATCCAATTTTGGGTCAGTCGGAGGGCAAGCGGCGTTCGTGGCCGCGATGGTTTCTTCCGTCATCGCACTTTAGTTTTTGGTGGACGTCAATTTTGGCTATATTGGATTAATTTTCATTACGTGACCTATATAAAGTACTTGTATGTTTGAGTTCATGGTCATCTTTTTTAATAGTATTATCAGGTTTTCTAATCATTTATGTTTGTAGGAGATATCTGATCTATCTAGTACAAGAGCTCTACGATAGAGTTTATGAAGGCTTTGACAACATTGTGAGTGAATATAACATGACACAAAATATCCACCAACACCAAGAGAGCAAACAAAACGCTTTGCAACTCAAAAACCCCAAAACCTGAAAACACACACACACAAACAAACAAACAAACAAAAAATAAGAGCATCGACGAAGAGCAGGCTCTTGGCACGGCGAAGAGCAGGCTAACCGCACAAAATAAGCCTCATCAAACCCAGCACGCAACAAGCCACGGCAAACAAAAACAGGGTAGCAAAGTCCCGTACGGACCACTTGTTGACAGGGGGTGTCCCGACCCGCAGGCTCTTGGCCCGGCGCAGAGCATCCACCTCCTTCATCAGGTCGAACTCCAGACCTTTCCTCTTGAGCTCCCCCACGCACTTGCCCAGCAGCTTGTAATCCTCTTTCTCCCTGTCGAGCAATCTCCGCACGTGGCACTCGACGTCCGTCTTGTACCGGACCGCCCATATGAACCCC